GGTGACAGGACTGGCAACGTAGCTGGGGATGGCAGGACGCTGACCACATGCATCACGCTCTGAGTTGGATTCAGGCAGAAGAAACAGGAAAAAACGGAAGCTCTAAAGTGACTAACCTTGTTTGCTGGATCAACAGGAAGAGACTGTGATGGTGAGGAAGGGGGGGGAGGGGCAGACAGCAAGAGGCAGGTGCAGTGGTAGGCCTGCTCTGGGTCATGTAGACTTCTTAGGTCCTTCCCCCCCACACACACCTCTTTTTCTTTTCTGGGCCTTCATTACTCATTTTGGTGCCTGGGTTCTTTCAGACTGGGCCGTTCAGAGACTTGCAGGCTATGTCCCTCTGAAATTCCCCAGCTCTTTTTTCAACATTACCTTGCTCTGCAGCACAGAGTTCAAGGTTCCCCTAGCGCTTCGCCGTGCCGGCTCTAGACTCAGTGGTGTAGATAAGGCACTGGCCACGTTCACGTCATTCCAGCATCATCCTCACCAGCCAGAGCTGGTAAATGTATATATATATATGCTGTATGTACATGTTTCTGTATGCCGGTGTGTTCACATCTTTAATCATAGGCTCAGACTGATGCCATCTATCCCAACCTAGTGTTCCTCTGTCCATTACCTCTCACTGCTCAGCTCATTTCCCACCTCCCGTCCTTCCTGACAGCGCCTCACATAGCCCAGCCTGTCCTAAAACTTTCTGTGCAGCCAAGGATGATATTGAACTTCTGACTCTCTGCTCCACCTGTCAAATCTTGGGATTACAGGCATATGCGACCACACCTGGTTATAAGGCGAAGCGGGCAGAAGCCAGGGCGTTGGTACACTAGGCAAGCGCCCTATCAATGAACTCCACACCCAGCCCTTATTTCTTATTTTTTGTCTCTTAGAGTAAAAACTCTAGCTCCTGAAATACCAATACATTGACTCACTGTCTTTGTTACTGTTCTACTGCTGTGAAGAGACACCATGACCAAAGCAACTCTTACAAGAGAGAGCATTCAGCTAGGAGCTTGCTTACAGTTTCAGAGGGCTAGTTCACGATCGTCATGGTGGGAAACAGACAGGCATGGGGCTGAAGCAGTGACTGAGAACTGTACATCCTGAGGAGGCAGGAGGCAAAAAGAGTCACTAGGCCTCAAAGCCCACCCTCAGTGACAAACTCCTCCAACCAGGTCACACCTCCTAATCCTTCCTAAACAGTCCACCAGCTGGGAAATGAGCATTCAAACTTACGAGCCTATGGGAGCCATTCTCATTCAACCCCAAACTCATCTTCTCAATGTGACACTACCCACAAGATGGCTTCAGACTGCTGGACTACTATCGTGCAAGTAAGAGCTACCTGCAAGGATCCAACCTTTCTTCCTCAGTTCATTTTACAATGAGATAAAAAATGGCCAGTCTTGTGTTCAAACCCTATCTGGTTCTTTTCCTTCTGGTGTTAGGTTATTCGATGTCTGTACTCAATTGTGGAGTTAAGACAAAAAGAAGCATATCCTAAAGCCCCTCCCCCAGCTTGTTTATGTGCATGTGTTCATGTCTGTGTGTGGGTGTACAAACATAGGAGCCTGGTACCCAAGCAAGTCAGAAGGTGTTGGGCCCCTGGTACTGGTACAACCTGTCTTGCATTTATTTTGTTGGCTTTCCCAGGGTTAGCAGTTGACTCAGCAGAGAAAGGCTCTTGTCAACAAGCCCGAAGACCCAAGTTCGACCCCCAGGACCAAAAGAGAGAAACTGCTCCTACAAGCTGTCCTGTGACAGCCACAGGCTTGCATCCACTTACACATGAATGCACACTTGTGCATAAACACACACAATAAAAAATGTAATGAAAGGGCTATTGCTTTTTTGTTTTTTTAATGGGCTATCCCAGTTTGCCTGTCTGTTCCTATGCTAAAACATTGACCCAAAGCAACCTGGGGAGGACAGGGTTGATTTGGCTTACACTTTCAGGTCACAGTCCTCATGGAGGGAGGGCAGGGCAGGAGCTCAAGCTGGAACTAAAGGGGAAACACACAGGAACACTGGCTTGCTCCCAGGCCCACTTTCAGCTACCCTTCTTACATGGCCCAGGCTCACTGGCTTATGGATGGTGCCCACAATGGGCTGGGCCCTCCTACATCAATTGCTAATCGAGAAAATGTCCCACAGACATGCCCAAAGGCCAATCTGAGGAAAACAATTCTTCAGGTTCCTCTACCAAGGTGTGTCCAGTTGACAAGGAAGATTAGCTTTTCTCAGTGAAGATCAAAATAAGGTGGTAAAGCTTAGAGAGCTTAGATGCTCAGCACTGCACAAGGGCACACTGCACGGGAGCATACTGTTCTTGCAGAGGAAACAAATGCAGTTCCCAACATCCAAGAGCCTCACAAAGACTCATAATAGCTCTACCTTCGGGGGATCTGAAGCCTCTGCCTCTTTAGTCACTGGCACTAAGGTACCCAGAAACACAAGTAATTTAAAATGACTTTAATAAAAGCCAGGCAGTGGTGACACATGCCTTTAATTCCGCTACCCTGAAAACAGGCAGAGGCAGACAGAGTTCTGTGATTTCCAGACCAGCTTGGTCTACAGAGGGAGTTCTAGGATAGCCAAAGCTACACAGAGAAACCCTGTCTCGAAACAAAACAAAAAGAGAAAGAAGAGAGAAAAGAAAGAAAAGAGAAAGACAGACAAGACAGAAAGACATAGGACAGTAACTGAGGTAGAACACCACATTGAGAAAAACATGTTTTCCGGGTGGATACACCACCCTACTTACACAACAACGTAAAGGAGCCACAGAAACAGACACACAGAAGCTTCAGGGAAAGGAATGGTGGTGCAGGAAGCAGCTGTGAGAACATCTGGCTTCACACATAAGGGATAGCAAAGAATTCCCACATTATAAAGCACACATTGTTGTTGGGAGACATGGGCTTCCTTGTAGCCTAGGTTAGGGCCCCTCTCAACAACACTGTCCAGGTTAGGGCCCCTCTCAACAACACCATCCAGGTTAGAGCCCCTCTCAACAACACCATCCAGGTTAGGACCCCTCTCAACAACACCATCCAGGTTAGGGCCCCTCTCAACAACATCATCCGGGTTAGGGCCCCTCTCAACAACACCATCCAGGTTAGGGCTCCTCTCAACAACATCATCTGAGTTAGGGCCCCTCTCAACAACACCATCCAGGTTAGGGCCCCTCTCGACAACACCGTCCTGGAGCTGGGATTCCAGGGGAGCCCCACACCACCTCGAGTCGCTAGCTTTCCAGCTCCCACCCTTCCAAAGTAGTGAGAATTGTTTCTGGAGCCCGTGTTAAAATAGAGGTATTATGTTGGAGGAACAGTTAAGCCACCACTACTTATTTAATGACAACAGAATAACTGTGCCCCAGGAAAAGGGGCACTGACCCCAGGGCTGCCAGGGACAGAATGCCTGATGGGTGATTGTACAACACCAGTAAATGGTACCAATCACACCAGAGAAACCAGCACAGGTTTCTGACACGCCTAGGAAATTTTATGTGTACATCAGCGATGGCTGAGGGTCACTCCCAGAGCCTAGGGACTAACTGCATGTGTTCTAGAAGGAAAAGCATATGGACAGAGGGATCTTGTCCTGAATCCAACTTGAGTTAACAGTTACCAGGCCACAGTGAGCCATTTAACATCTCCTTGTGGAAGGTATAATGTCTCCTTTGAGAAGGGACCACGACATGACAGAACAGTCCAGCTCACTGCCCCTGATGCAGGACAGAGCATTGGTAAACAATTCCTTTAACAAATCAGATGAAACTAGTCACCAAGGCAAAGAAAGAAATAACCAAGCCACCAACTTAATAACACACCTGAAAGAGATCACTCAATCTCCAACAGTACATTTGGTGATGACAGAAAAATGCCCAATACTTTGCTACCACTCTTAGTTTTGAAAGTGTCCCAGGATCTATTTTTAAAGAGTAAAAATACACGATGATATGTTTATTCATAAAAGACCAGCAACTCAAAACTGTTTCCTGTGTATTGCTCATGGGCTTAAGGCGTGTAGTTAAGCGAACCACAGCACGCAGAATCAACGTCATGGTCTAATAACGTGTAGACACAAGAGGTCTGGCAATATTTATTAAATAATATTTTTAAAGTTTCTATTTCGGTTTTAAATTCACAAGCAAACCCAAATGTAAAAATGGAGACTCCTTAAATGCTCCGAATCAAAATATTAAAATATACAGTAAACTTTCAGAAATGGCAATGAACGCTGGCAGATACCAAATATTATACAGTTTGGTCCGACCCCTGTAAAAAACAATCTCCCTCCCTCTCATATGAGCATGTGTCAGCCATCACATCCTGATAAGCTGAAAAATATAAAAGGTCACCGTCTCAGTTCACGATATTGAAAGGGACTAATAATTACATTCTGTCTTAAGGCAACTCCTTAGTAGGGCGCGGGTCCACAGCAGGATATATTCTCACCTTTTTACAGGGAGAGGGGTGGAGAGGATGGGAGAGGAGTAGAGAAAATAAAATCACCCACAACTGGAAGCCTTTTCTCAACTTTGAAAAAGCAGAAAGAGATGCGGAGAGAAGACGAGGGGGAAAAAGCTTTCTCCTGTTCTAAACTTGCAAAATCCAATATCCAAAATCCGTTATCACTCCCCCCCGCCAAAAAAAAAAAAAAACCATAACCAAGCCTTGGGGACATAGTATCCCTCAACAACAACCCGAGGCTCCAGCAGCCGGTGGAGAACTTGGAGGGGTGGGGGCTCCGTGCTCTGCAGCTACGGTTCTCTGGGCTCCCCGGTGGCCGCACCCTCGGGCCGTCACGGGCCTTGCGGAGCGCAGGACAGCCCGCGTCCTCACGGAGCCCCGCGCCCCGCCGCCAGAATTCACACGGAGCCCAGCGCCTGCCACCCGCGTCCACACGGAGACCCGCCACTCGCCACCCGCCTCCCGTCTCCCGCCACCGGCAGCCACACGGAGAGTCGTCGCTCGCCGCCTGTGCTCGCCACCTACCTCGAGCCCGGCCGCCACCACCGCGCTGCTGCTGGGCGCTCGGCTGCGGGTCGCGAACCGCTAGTAGGCTCCGCCACACAAGACGGCGACCACACCCAGAGCCCTGCACGCCGGACGGGGCGGGGACCGGGGCGCGGCGCGCGGGGCGGGGGCGGAGGCGGGGGCGCGCGAGGCCGGGAAGAGGGTCTGGGAACGCGCCGAGACAGCAGCGCGCGTGGCTCGGGTCGGGGCTGGCGGGAGCGAGCGCGGTCGGGGCGGGGGGTGCTCCAGGGGCTCGGAGAACCCAGAGCGCGCTTGGCCTGGGTGGAGGCTGATTGGCACACGCAGGGCCAGGGGTGCGTGTGGCTTAGGAAAGGGGTGGGTTGGAGGGGGCGCGGGTGGCCTGGGCCGGGGTGCAGGGGTTGGGCGCTAGCAAAGCGTGCAGCTTCTGCGGCTTTGGGAAGCGGAAAGAGCATCCCCGGCAGTTTCGATTTATCCGTGTGCCCCTGGACGCACCGTCTAAGCAATGTGCCTGACTTCTTGGTGGTTGGGCCTGGCCTGTGCCTGGCCTGGGCTGCAGGGTTGAGCTAGGAGAGCCACAGATGCAGTCTGCAATCATTGAGCTCTGAAATCTGAAGTCAATCCAGCCCAACAGCCGTCGGTGGATGCCCGAAGTTCACTGGGAACATAAAGTTAGTGATACTGTCCCCCAGCCCCGCCCCCAACACACCCGAAGGTGCTGAAAACATTCCTGAACAAACCCATGCTCGCACAGAGCCTGCCTCTTGACTGTCAGCTCTTGAAAGTTACACTCTGTGTTGTCACTGATGACTGGAAGGCTGTCCCCAGCACCCTGCCAGGTCTCTGCTCTTTAAACACCAGTGCACCTCAAGCGAGTTTGTTCACATTTCTCTGGCGTTTTATACTGAACATGTCATAAAAGAAATGTCTCCAATTTGCTTCTTCTGCAGGGGCATTGCTCCTCTCCCCACCTCCATCTTTCTTTTGGAGTTAATTCCACTTTGACAGACGGTTGCTATAGCATTCTCTTTCTGACGTCAAACAATTTAAAGAAACAGAGCTGGGAAACAAGATTGCAGAGCTGGAGAAGGGTTTAAAGACTATCAGGAGAGCTTGACACCCCCCGGCCTTCCATGGTTTCCTTTTCAGCTGCTCTGCAACATCACATGGAATCAAATCCACTCATACCTACAGGCAAGGAGGCCACACACGGCACTCTGAATGTGACAGGGAAGAAAATGCAGCTGCTCTGTGTAAAAGCCACACCACCACAGATGTGAAAACACCAAGAGACCAGGATGATGAAGTGGTTTCTCCCCAAAGTTTTGCTTTCCCTAATTAATGCTGGTTGCTCTTTCTCAGTTAAAAAGAAAATGAAGAAGTGCCAGACCTACACGTCAAAGAGTCAGGATGGTTGGTTGCTGCCTGAGTAGTCTAATTTTTTATGGCGTGTTTCAGTAATAAGTCCTAAACTAGAAGATTGGAAACAAAGGGAAGCGGGCACTTAGGGAGCGCTTATATTTCTAAGGCTCCCTGCCTCAGCTTACCTCTGTCTTTTATCCCCATTTCACAGATTAGCAAATTGAGGCCCACTAGGATTCAGTTTGCTTTGTGGAATCACATAATATGGCACCTGACTAAACCAACTTGGAAAACTCTTTTCCTTTGTTGTGATTGCCTCCCTCTTAATCCTGTGCACCAGCACGTACCATATGGCGGGATTCTGAGAAGTGCTCTACTTTCAACTGTGCATCTGGGGAAACTTAGTGGAAAGCCCTGGGGTACTGAATCTATTCTGGAGACGATCGGGGAAACAGACATTAATAGCTCCAAAGCATGAACTGTAGAGCCCAAAAAGATTGATGATATTTGATGATCTGTGAACATTTGACATGGACAGAAATGCAAGACGAATAGTCTGGATACTAAAAAGAAGTAAAGAAGTATTCATCACCCAAACAAACCCACTTCTTGTTATATTATATTTGTTTTGTTACCTGTCAGTTTTCTGAAAAGAACCCATACCCTTAAGAGCAAGCCTGTATACTGTGCATTGGAAAGTAGAGTCAGTGAGATTTCATTACCTAGAGCAATGTCCCAAGTATAATAAAGTTTGTGGATGGATTCTCACAGCTCTTGGTGTCTCCAAGAGTAAGGAGACCTGTGGAGGGTGGGGGTAAAGAAGAGAGAGAGAGAGAGAGAGAGAGAGAGAGAGAGAGAGAGAGAGAGAATCTGGTGGAAAGAAACTCAGAGATACAGGGACAGAGTCAGAAACTGAGAGCAAGAGAGAAATAGAAAGAGACAGCTAAGACGATACACAGGACCACACACACACATTCACTACATACGCACTCACACACATACACACTCACATACACTCGCACACATGCGCACATCCACAGCTCATGGTTGGTGCTGCTGGCTGTGTGGAAGATTGTCCCTCAGGATTGGCCCGGGCATCCGCAGCATCTGGATCACCAACTCACTGGATTCATTTTCTGAAATTCTACTTTATTTTCAGAACACAAGGGGAGCCTGAGAGACAGAACCCCGGCGCCTTTTACCCTCATCTCCAGGATGACATTCACCAGGAGGACACATCTACTAGGTACTCCAAGGACAAAGAAATGCAGACAGTTGCTTGTTTGGTTTTTCAGTCCTGACCAGCTCAGAGCCTCTCAGTTGCGTGCTCAGAAGAAAGGAATTGGTTTCCTAGGGGGTTCAGTGACAGTTCCTTATAGAGAAATCTATGTCCCCTCTGGTCCAGTTCTGAGACTTTCTGTCTTTGATCCCAATTGTGTCATTTGAATTCTCTTCCCAGTGAGTGCTCCTCCTCACATTTGTAGTGCCACAGGCTTGTAACCTCTGCTTCCAAATCATACTCTAGAGACACTCATTTTGGTTTTTTTTTTTTTTTTTGGTTACTTTACCAAGTGCACTACAAACAATAGAGCCAGCAAAGTGGACAGTTTTCACCACTGCCCCCTCAGAGATGAATGGTTTCCAATTGTGAGCCCAAATTATGTACAGGCATCAGTTTCCAGCACAGATATCAGATGGCTCACAACCACCTGGAACTCCAGGTCCAGGCTATCCAATGCCCTCTCCCACCCTCTGAGGGCTCTGCAGCTACATGTGTGTATACACACAGAGACACACAATTAAAAAGAATAAATAAATAGTCTCTGAAAGCAACTGTCTTACAGGACCTTAAGAGTTCCTCATGCGAGTGAAAAGGAAGACTCCTTAGAGTCTGTCAGAAGTCAGTTATGGGCTTTTTCTGCCAGATATTTTGAACACAGCTCAGTCTTACTAGAATCATCCCTGTTGCTCATACAGACCACATTTTTGTCCCAGCCCTTTCACGGTGTATGCTTTGAGCTTACCCTTTCAGTACCCTGCCCCTCACTACACATTCCTGATGTAAAATGCTTATAGCTCTTAGGTCATTTCCCTCAGGTCCTCAGCAAGAACAGTTTCAAACCCATCTTCCTCAGGCATCTCAGAGAATTTAGGAGAGTGATACACTGGGCTAATGATATCTGCCACAGGCATGGGACAGGGAATAGAAGTGTGCAGGCACATGCTACCTGTTCTTCATCTTGTACTTCCTGTTCTGGGAATCCTGTTGGAAAAGGACTTTGGCACAGTGGAAAGAACACAAACTTCATATTATGTCAAAGACTAGGTGTGGGGCTCATGTTGTTGATATATATATATATATTCCCTAGGATCCATATCTATATATGGTCCCTAGGATCCTTTTTTTTGAGGCGGGGGTTGACACAGGGTTTCTCTGTGTAGCCCTGGCTGTCCTGGAACTCACTCTGTAGACCAGGCTGGCCTCGAACTTAGAAATCTGCCTGCCTCTGCCTCCCAAGTGCTGGGATTAAAGGTGTGCTCCACCACCACCCGGCCCTAGGATCCTATAGTCTGCATTTGGTCTACCTTATCATATACTGAATTCTGTCATAGTTGACAAATACTTCTAGCACTGTTGGACAGCTAAACATTCACTAACTAGCTCACCATATCCTAAGAGGACTTTTGAATAGCTTGTTTTAGGGAGCCACTCTGACTTGTTTGTACTGGTGAATAAAAACATTTGATTAGTTCTTTCTTGCTCCATATAAGCAACCCTGAAACAATGGAGTCACACAAGCAATGTGTTCTAGCGTGTGTGTGTGTGTGTGGGTGGGTGGGGGCGTCTCACAGCATGCTAGGCACAGCAGTAGACACCTATTTTCTCCTGGACATCTTTGTGCAGGGCTTGGTGGCCTAGCAGAAGCATCTTTTACTTATTGCCCTGTCAGCTACGCAGTTAGCCATGGCTCTTTCATGGGGCTTGGAAATCAGCGCTACCTGTTGGCTGGAAGACCAGCCAGGTGTGTGGGCAGAGAGCTTAGTTTCTTTTCTCACAGGCCTTTCCATGAATTGCGAATTCCACACAGGCCAGTGGCTGAGTTCTAAGAGCAGGTGTTCTGGAGAACAAGGAGGAAGTGTACAGAGTCTCAGTGACAGCCACACAGCACAGCTGTGATTTCTGTGTGCTCTTGGTCTAACCTGGCAATACTGATAGACACGCAGACCTCTTCATGAAATAGTGATCCATCCTAGAGAGCAGGGGGCTAGCATCTACCCTTACAGACATCTTCAGACATGTATCCTTCTGACTTGGACTTGCACATGCACAGCTGCCATCCCAGCACACTAGAGGCTGAGGCAGAATGACTGTAGCTGGAGGTCAGTGTAGGTAGGCTGCACAGTGAAAACTTCCTTTAAAGAACAACAGCATTGGCAACAACAAAAGCCCATACCAAAGCACCGCCATCAATCAACTCTCGGTTTCATAACTAAGAGCTTATCTTTCCTTTCCTTTCTTCCTTATAGGATAAGTTTTACTTATGATAATGTGTTCTGTCAAATATTTCAAACAATAGAATATGTCTCATTTTTTTCTTACATGATGCTTGCTCACTCTTTCTTTCTTTCTCCCTTTCTTTCTCCCTTTCTTTCTCCCTTTCTTTCTTTCTCCCTT